ACTGATCGCGCGCCCATACCAGTCCAACTAACACCCAGGAGTGACCAGCCACACAGTCCACTAACAACCCAGGATAGCCACCCACTACCAGTCCAACTACTACACCTCAGGGATGTGAACCACACCAGTCCACTAAATACATACAGGATGTGACCAGCACAATCCAGTCTCACTACAACACCCAGATGGCCACCCACACCATCCACTAACACCCAGATGCCACCCACACCAGTCCTCTAACACCAAGATGCCACACCACATAACCAGTCCACTAACACCCAGGGAGCCACCACACACCATCCACTAACACCCAGGATGCGACCCACACCAGCTTCCACTAACACCCATGATGGCCACCACACACATCCACTAACTCCCAGGATGCCCACCCACGACCAGTGCTCACTACAACACGCGCAGGATGCACCAGCACACCAGTCCACTCACAACACCCATGATGCCACTCACCATTAGTCCACTAACACCCAGGATGCCAAACCCAACACCACACCCCACACCACCCATGTACATCAGTACTTTCCACCTCAGCCACGTACATCTGTACTTTCCCACCTCCCACGTACATCTGTACTTTCCACCTCCCACGTACCATCTGTACTTTCCACCTCCCACGTACATCTGTACTTTCCACCTCCCACGTACTTCTTACTTTCCCTCCAACGTACATCTGTACTTTCCACCTCCCACGTACCTCTGCGTACTTTTCCACCTCGCACGTACTTTCTACATTCATCTCCACGTACATGTGCTTTCATCCCCCACGTACATGTGGACATTTTCCACCTGCCCACAGTGCACTGGGGTTTTTTTTACTTTCCACCTCCCCACGTAACATCTGTACTTTTCCCACCTCCACGACATCTAGTACTTTCCACCTCTCCCACGTACGTCCAGTACTTTCCACCTCCACGTACATCTGTTACTTTCCACCTCCCACGACATCTGTACTTTCCTACCTCCCAACTACAGCTGTACTTTCCACCTCCCACGTACATCTGTACTTTCCACTCCCACGTACATCTGTACTCTTCCACCTCCCCGTACATCTGTCGACTTCTCTCCCTCCCACGTACATCTGTACTCTTTTACCACTCCCACGGACATCGGAACTATCCACCTCCCACTGTAACGTCAGTCTTTCCACCCTCCACGAACGTCTTTACGATCCACCTCCCACGTACATCTGTACTATCCCACCTCGCCACTAAACATCTTTCTTTCCACCTCTGGCGAGTTTACGCTAGTGGAGAGAGGTTAGCCTGGGGTCAACTCCCAGCGCGGTGCGTCTCGGTCTTGACCAGGTTGCCTTCCTGGTGGAATCAGAGCCTGATCACCCATGCTGTTGCTGCTAGTCTGCACTCGCAAACCATACGTACGAGCCACAGCCACAGGCTGATCAGGAACTGACTTTAGGTCACACTTCACCACTCAGCGCCAAGTTGCTTGAGAGTTCATCAACCTCTAAGCGAATCACTCTTCAGCAACAAGGCTAAAACTAACCACATATCATATAAAAGCCAAAAGCCCTTCAAAAAAGTTTATGAAAATGAGCTTCCATTGCTAACCACTGCACTCCTCCAGTTACTCCTATGAACTCCCATAAATGTGTTCCTAACCTCTGATGTGACTCTAGCCTGCTGCCAGCTACTCAAGATCAAGACTTCAAACTACCACAAGTCATGCAACAGTCCCTGCTATTTGCTGTTCTCAAGTCTGCCGCCACGACACGCCTTAGCAGCTGGGTTAAAGCCTGCTCTATTTCTCTGACTAAGAAAAACTCTCTCCAGAGCAGTAATCTTCATCGTCCCGTCTCCCGCTCATGCCGCCATTGGATCTTAACCTAAACTGTTTGCTTGCCTTGCTTACCTCTGTTAGTGTGACTTGTCAATGTCCAAGTCGGACCCGAAACGATCGTCGTAACGCTTCTCTCTTTTAGTGCGAGGTCTATTAGTGTATTGTTTCGCGAGTCACGGAATTGGTGCCTTTTTGTTATTCATTTCTGTGCATCTTCGACTGAATTCCCCTATTTTCTGGGTTCTGCTTAGTCTTCCATATATATCCCATGGCTTCTAGCAGATATTAACGTAGTTCACATATTTACTGCGAGATGATCAGTGCGCAGCAGGCGCAAGTACACGTGTTTTAAGAATCTAATTATCTCAAATAAACTAATTTATATCTACTTACTAACTAAATAACTGTAGCGATAGGTTAAGTTAAATTTGTATCACACGGCGCAGGAAGATTGTGGGCGTAATGTCACACACACACAACCCTACACATAGTGCGGTAGATAATCTTATGACGTACCATATTACAAGTCCCACTAAGACACACGAGGTGAGGGAGCGCAGTAACATATGAACCACAACTAGACGCATCCGCTCATGTAGAAACGACAACTACCCACAATTATACACTATTAGAGCGGTTTGTGGAGCGTCAATGTCGCTTTAATCTTAAGCGTTACAGCTTAGGCGATGAACGTTATAAATGGTGAACACTGCGACCAGATCTGTGTACTCAATGAATCTCGGTGAACGGGTGTTGATATGAACACCCAGGACTGTTCCAAGGACAATGTTTGCCATGGTTTCAAACACCCACCCCGTTCACGGTCTGTTTACAGTCATGGTACTAACTGATATTAGTAAAGGTTACTCAGGAAGTACCACACACAGTTACAGAGATTTATCATACATAACAGCATGTGAGTAGAGCCTAAGATTACACAAAAAAGTCAGTGAACATATTTCCAATATCCACTGCTGTTCGAAAGTTTGAGTGTAACGTCATGAGCTCCGGCTGTCTTGGTGCGTCCTGTATGTTTACGTTATAACAACTAAAAGACATTTTGGATCTAGATAAATTAGACACTTGCAACACTTGGTAACGTATTGCAGTAGCGTTCCGCCCACAACACTGTGACTCATCAGATCACAGTCACAACATTAGAATATTTAAAGACTGCTAGGTCTGATTAATTGACTCCAGGCTGGAGGTACCAATTATATCTGACTCTGTCTAGGCGGCCATCTCTGGCCAAACTAGAGGTTGCAGCATTGAAGAAACATGATACAACTATACGAGTCAACACATGGAATCTTTATGAAGAAAGCGTTTCGGCCACACAGTGGCTCATCAGTGCCAAACAAAGTAGAAATGGGTAAGCAGAAGAAGATTTTGAGTAATCTAGTTCTCCCTAACCTATGAAACGATGTGTTCAACTTGACGGTCTTTCTAAACCATTCATCACACAGTCTGTTATATAGTTAAGCCTATCCGGCCTGGCAGTACCACTGGGTACGGTCATACAAACCACACTGGGGACTGCAGACCTGCCTAGAAGGTTTACAAAAAGCAGAATGGACCAGACCACGTTACGGTATACATCTATCTGCGGTAGCAGAAACATTCACCTGACCACCTTCCGGTGTATATCTACTGGTCTTAGGAGGTCTTACCATATCTGAGTAATTGAAATTTCTCATCGTTGAACTTCATATTGTTTTCTGCAGCCCACTGAAAGATTTGGTTGATGTCTGCCTGGAGCCTTGCAGTGTCTGCAATGTCTGCCTGGAGCCTTGCAGTGTCTGCAATGTCTGCCTGGAGCCTTGCAGTGTCTGCAATGTCTGCCTGGAGTCTTGCAGTGTCTGCAATGTCTGCCTGGAGTCTTGCAGTGTCTGCAATGTCTGCCTGGAGTCTTGCAGTGTCTGCAATGTCTGCCTGGAGTCTTGCAGTGTCTGCAATGTCTGCCTGGAGTCTTGCAGTGTCTGCAATGTCTGCCTGGAGTCTTGCAGTGTCTGCAATGTCTGCCTGGAGTCTTGCAGTGTCTGCAATGTCTGCCTGGAGTCTTGCAGTGTCTGCAATGTCTGCCTGGAGTCTTGCAGTGTCTGCAATGTCTGCCTGGAGCCTTGCAGTGTCTGCAATGTCTGCCTGGAGCCTTGCAGTGTCTGCCTGGAGCCTTGCAGTGTCTGCAGTGTCTGCCTGGAGCCTTGCAGTGTCTGTAATGTCTGCCTGGAGCCTTGCAGTGTCTGCAATGGAAGACACTGTCATGCAGATTCGGGTGTCATCTGCAAAGGAAGACACGGTGCTGTGGCTGACATCCTTGTCTATGTCGGATATGAGGATGAGGAACAAGATGGGAGCGAGTACTGTGCCTTGTGGAACAGAGCTTTTCACCGTAGCTGCCTCGGACTTTACTCTGTTGACGACTACTCTCTGTGTTCTGTTAGTTAGGAAATTATAGATCCATCGACCGACTTTTCCTGTTATTCCTTTAGCACGCATTTTGTGCGCTATTACGCCATGGTCACACTTGTCGAAGGCTTTTGCAAAGTCTGTATATATTACTTCTGCATTCTTTTTGTCTTCTAGTGCATTTAGGACCTTGTCGTAGTGATCCAAGCGTTGAGACAGACAGGAGCGACCTGTTCTAAACCCATGTTGCCCTGGGTTGTGTAACTGATGGGTTTCTAGATGGGTGGTGATCTTGCTTCTTAGGACCCTTTCAAAGATTTTTATGATATGGGATGTTAGTGCTATTGGTCTGTAGTTCTTTGCTGTTGCTTTACTGCCCCCTTTCACGTACATCTGTACTTTCCACCTCCCACGTACACCTGTACTTTCCACCTCCCACGTACACCTGTACTTTCCACCTCCCACGTACATCTGTACTTTCCACCTCCCACGTACACCTGTACTTTCCACCTCCCACGTACACCTGTACTTTCCACCTCCCACGTACACCTGTACTTTCCACCTCCCACGTACACCTGTACTTTCCACCTCCCACGTACATCTGTACTTTCCACCTCCCACGTACATCTGTATTTTCCACCTCCCACGTACATCTGTACTTTCCACCTCCCACGTACATCTGTACTTTCCACCTCCCACGTACATCTGTACTTTCCACCTCCCACATACATCTGTATTTTCCACCTCCCACGTACATCTGTACTTTCCACCTGCCACAGTGTCGCCGCGTCACACCAGCTGTGGACACATCTCCAGTGATACACCTGCCACACACTGGAACCTGGACACCTGTCACACCAACAAACATTACATCTGTAAGAAGGTTCAACAGTCAGCACAAAGCAACACTTCCCACGACACCTGTGTACAGGTGAGGCAGCTGTGTACAGGTGAGGCAGCTGTGTACAGGTGAGGCAGCTGTGTACAGGTGAGGCAGCTGTGTACAGGTGAGGCAGCTGTGTACAGGTGAGGCAGCTGTGTACAGGTGAGGCAGCTGTGTACAGGTGAGGCAGCTGTGTGCAGGTGAGGCAGCTGTGTGCAGGTGAGGCAGCTGTGTACAGGTGAGGCAGCTGCGTACAGGTGAGGCAGCTGCGTACAGGTGAGGCAGCTGTGTACAGGTGAGGCAGCTGTGTACAGGTGAGGCAGCTGTGTACAGGTGAGGCAGCTGTGTGCAGGAGAGGCAGCTGTGTGCAGGAGAGGCAGCTGTGTGCAGGAGAGGCAGCTGTGTGCAGGAGAGGCAGCTGTGTACAGGTGAGGCAGCTGTGTGCAGGTGAGGCAGCTGTGTACAGGTGAGGTAGCTTTGTGCAGGAGAAGCAGCTGTGTACAGGTGAGGCAGCTGTGTACAGGTGAGGCAGCTGTGTACAGGTGAGGCAGCTGTGTACAGGTGAGGCAGCTGTGTACAGGTGAGGCAGCTGTGTACAGGTGAGGTAGCTTTGTGCAGGAGAAGCAGCTGTGTACAGGTGAGGCAGCTGTGTACAGTTGAGGCAGTTGTTTGCAGGTGAGGCAGCTGTGTACAGGTGAGGAAGCTGTGTACAGGTGAGGCAGCTGTGTGCAGGTGAGGCAGCTGTGTACAGGTGAGGCAGCTGTGTACAGGTGAGGTAGCTTTGTGCAGGAGAAGCAGCTGTGTACAGGTGAGGCAGCTGTGTACAGGTGAGGCAGCTGTGTACAGGTGAGGTAGCTTTGTGCAGGAGAAGCAGCTGTGTACAGGTGAGGCAGCTGTGTACAGGTGAGGCAGCTGTGTACAGGTGAGGCAGCTGTGTACAGGTGAGGCAGCTGTGTACAGGTGAGGCAGCTGTGTACAGGTGAGGTAGCTTTGTGCAGGAGAAGCAGCTGTGTACAGGTGAGGCAGCTGTGTACAGTTGAGGCAGTTGTTTGCAGGTGAGGAAGCTGTGTACAGGTGAGGCAGCTGTGTGCAGGTGAGGCAGCTGTGTGCAGGTGAGGCAGTTGTTTGCAGGTGAGGCAGTTGTTTGCAGGTGAGGCAGTTGTTTGCAGGTGAGGCAGCTGTGTGCAGGAGAGGCAGCTGTGTACAGGTGAGGCAGCTGTGTGCAGGAGAGGCAGTTGTTTGCAGGTGAGGCAGCTGTGTACAGGTGAGGCAGCTGTGTACAGGAGAGGCAGCTGTGTGCAGGTATCACAAACACCAGTGTTGGTGTATCACACCAGTGTTGGTGTATCACACCAGTGTTGGTGTATCACACCAGTGTTGGTGTATCACACCAGTGTTGGTGTATCACACCAGTGTTGGTGTATCACACCAGTGTTGGTGTATCACACCAGTGTTGGTGTATCACACCAGTGTTGGTGTATCACACCAGTGTTGGTGTATCACACCAGTGTTGGTGTATCACACCAGTGTTGGTGTATCACACCAGTGTTGGTGTATCACACCAGTGTTGGTGTATCACACCAGTGTTGGTGTATCACACCAGTGTTGGTGTATCACACCAGTGTTGGTGTATCACACCAGTGTTGGTGTATCACACCAGTGTTGGTGTATCACACCAGTGTTGGTGTATCACACCAGTGTTGGTGTATCACACCAGTGTTGGTGTATCACACCAGTGTTGGTGTATCACACCAGTGTTGGTGTATCACACCAGTGTTGGTGTATCACACACGCCAGTGTTGGTGTATCACACACGCCAGTGTTGGTGTATCACACCAGTGTTGGTGTATCACACACGCCAGTGTTGGTGTATCACACACGCCAGTGTTGGTGTATCACACACGCCAGTGTTGGTGTATCACACACGCCAGTGTTGGTGTATCTCACACGCCAGTGTTGGTGTATCTCACACGCCAGTGTTGGTGTATCTCACACGCCAGTGTTGGTGTATCACACACGCCAGTGTTGGTGTATCACACACGCCAGTGTTGGTGTATCACACACGCCAGTGTTGGTGTATCACACACGCCAGTGTTGGTGTATCACACACGCCAGTGTTGGTGTATCACACACGCCAGTGTTGGTGTATCACACACGCCAGTGTTGGTGTATCACACACGCCAGTGTTGGCGTATCACACACGCCAGTGTTGGCGTATCTCACACGCCAGTGTTGGCGTATCTCACACGCCAGTGTTGGCGTATCTCACACGCCAGTGTTGGCGTTTCACACACACCAGTGTCGGTGTATCTCTCACACACCAGTGTCGGTGTATCTCTCACACACCAGTGTTGGTGTATCACACACGCCAGTGTTGGTGTATCACACACGCCAGTGTTGGTGTATCACACACGCCAGTGTTGGTGTATCACACACGCCAGTGTTGGTGTATCACACACGCCAGTGTTGGTGTATCACACACGCCAGTGTTGGTGTATCACACACGCCAGTGTTGGCGTATCTCACACGCCAGTGTTGGCGTATCTCACACGCCAGTGTTGGCGTATCTCACACGCCAGTGTTGGCGTATCTCACACGCCAGTGTTGGCGTTTCACACACACCAGTGTTGGTGTATCTCTCACACACCAGTGTCGGTGTATCTCTCACACACCAGTGTCGGTGTATCACACACCCCAGTACTCCAAAGTTTGGACTGATAAACATTAGTTTTAACATATTCTGTATTACAGTTTAGTTCAGCTCTGTAATCAAACATATGTGTAATGTGAGTTAATATTGTTTTACAGTGTTTGTCGCGTAATAAGAGGTTCAGTGTCCAGAGACCAATGTTTGTCTACAAACCTGGCGAGTCTCATGACGCAGGACGTCCTGTCTTCTCATCACTTTTCCATTCTCGTTTTGGTCCACACTTCACAGACGTAGGAAGCGCACGGAAGCATTTGGAAGGCGTCTTATTGCGTTCAAGGATCACACCGTGGCATCCTGACCCGGCAGCTCCACAGCCTCCACGTTTCACGATGTATCACAGATTTCACGATGGTGAACAAGTACAGCTGGGTGATCCCTCTGCTGTAGTTCCCTCTAAAAAAGTTCTCAAGAGTATATTACAGGCCCACTTAATGCCATCTTCTGGTTCTTCGAGCCAGAGAACACCTGCCACAACCTTGACGGTAGACAGCGTCGCCCATGGAGGACCGTCACTGACTACGACACAGTCCCTCACTGATAATGGAAATGAAAGTGTCATTGCCTTACTGACAAGTGCTTCAAGTGCTAGTGAAGCAAGTGTCAGTGTCAATGGGGAAACATCTGAGCTCAACACCTGCCAGACGGTAAGTCTCCACAATGTCGTGTTTTTGTTCATATCTTCCGATTACTTTTGTCTTTTGGTAAGTATAATCCAAGATGGAAGCCTTGATACTGGTGTGGAACTCTTGATTCACAGAACTTGAGCTACCCTCCTTGTGGGATATATCTACATTTAGTGGCCACTTTGTTAGGCACACATGTACAGTGGCATGCAGAGATCTGGTGATACCCGGGGCCAACTCCTTGTTTGTATGCCCCAAATCACTATCATATTTCCCTCTCTAATTGGATGCCCCTCCCACATTTGGATGTCCGGGGCCACCGCCCCTTCGGCCCCTCCTCTGCACGCCAGTGCACATGTACACTTACACTTTGGTGCAAATATCAAGTCAGCCAATCACGTGGCAACACCTCGATGCCAAAAAGCATGCAGACCAAACATAAGAATGGGGAAGAAATGTGATCTTAGTGACTATGACTGTGGGACGGTTCTTGGTGCCAGACAGACGAGCTGGTTTGAGTATCTCAGAAATTGCTGATGTCCTGGGATTTTCATACACAACTGTCTCTTAGAGTTTATAGGGAATGGTGTAAAAAACCCATCAACAGTTCTGTAGGCGGAAACACCCTGATAATGAGAGAGGTCAAGGGAGAAGAACCAGGCTGGTTCAAGCTGACAGGAAGGTGACAGTATCTCAACAATCACACGTCACAACAGTAGTATACAGAAGAACATCTCTGAACGCACAAAAAGTCAGACCACACCGGGTTTCACTCCTGTCAGCTAAGAACAGGAAACTGAGGCTACAGTGAGTAAAGGCTCACCACAACTGAACAGTTGAAGATTGTAGAAACATCGCCTGGTCTGACAAACGTCGATTACTGCTGCGGCATGCAGATGGTAGGGTCAGAATTTGGCGTAAACCTTTGTGATGTGGTGGAACGGGAGATTAACAGATCTGCAGCATCTGTCTGATGCTATCATGTCAATGTAGACCAGAATCTCTCTATGCGTACCTTTTTCAATCCATGTCACGAAAAATTCAGGCGGTCCTGGGACCCTACCCAGTACTAGAAGAATGTACCTGATAAATGGTCACAGAACACACGTGAATTACTTGACACACGACATCGTTGTTGCTTATCTTTTCAATGATTATTCCCGTATCTTACACTCCCTCTGTCCGCACTACCAAGGTGGCTGTTACAATTGGTAGCTGTTACGATTATTTTTCCTATCTGCAAAAGATTCAAAACTGTGATGTGTATTTTAATTCATGTATGTTATAATCATAAGAAACAGTAGAGGTTCCAGAGCAGCGCCTTGCGGTACTCAGGTTTTTGCTTTGCTAATAGTGAATTATATTCTGTCTCATGCTACTCTTTGGGTCCTTTGTCTCAGAAAGTTATATATCATTTTGTGTATCATCCTCATTAAACCTGTGGCCTCATATTGCAGTCTTATGGTCGCATTTCTTAAATGACTTTAACGAAAGTGACTCCGGACAATGCACAACCTGCAGGTACAAGATTGAACATTAAAATGGTATAAAATACCGACAGGTTGTTAGGTAAGACACATATGCAACAGTTAGGTATCTTTATTATGAAAAAGATACCTAACTGTTGCATATGTGTCTTACCTAACAGGTACAAGATTGAAACTTAAAAGGACGTTTGGGTCCGACCATCACCTAGTGACTAGTTAATGATCCAAACAGACCGAAACATCGTCAGTTTTATTCTCCTATGTCCGGGTTATTTGGGTATAGTTCCAGTCACTGTATTGGGACTTTTTCTTATTTTCCTATGAGAGCGGCCAGCAGTAACAGCCTGATTGATCAGACCCTGATCCACCACGAAGCCTGGTCTCAGACCGAGCGTTGGCCCGGAAACCGTCTCCAGGTCTGGACCATCTTAGGTTTACGGGCTGTCGTAGTGATGGCAGTTATAACACTTAACTTCCTGATCTAAATCCAAGTTAATTTCTCTCGCGTAGTTCACTTGTCTCCCAGAATGTTGGTAATGTGGTGTTTCGTGCAGGCAGGAACAGTGCCTTGCGGTGCAGGCAGGAACAGTGTCTTGCAGTGCAGGCAGGAACAGTGCCTTGCGGTGCAGGCAGGAACAGTGTCTTGCGGTGCAGGCAGGAACAGTGTCTTGCGGTGCAGGCAGGAACAGTGTCTTGCGGTGCAGGCAGGAACAGTGTCTTGCGGTGCAGGCAGGCACAGTGTCTTGCGGTGCAGGCAGGCACAGTGTCTTGCGGTGCAGGCAGGCACAGTGTCTTGCGGTGCAGGCAGGAACAGTGTCTTGCGGTGCAGGCAGGAACAGTGTCTTGTGGTGCAGGCAGGAACAGTGTCTTGCGGTGCAGGCAGGAACAGTGTCTTGCGGTGCAGGCAGCAACAGTGTCGTGCGGTGTAGGCAGGAACAGTGTCTTGCAGTGCAGGCAGGAACAGTGTCTTGCGGTTGCAGGCAGGAAACAGTGTCTTGCGGTGCAGGCAGGAACAGTGTCTTGCAGTGCAGGCAGGAAACAGTGTCTTGCGGTGCAGGCAGCAACAGTGTCGTGCGGTGTAGGCAGGAACAGTGTCTTGCGGTGCAGGCAGGAACAGTGTCTTGCGGTGCAGGCAGGAGCAGTGTCTTGCGGTGCAGGCAGGAACAGTGTCTTGCAGTGCAGGCAGGAACAGTGTCTTGCAGTGCAGGCAGGAACAGTGTCTTGCAGTGCAGGAACAGTGTCTTGCGGTGCAGGCAGGAACAGTGTCTTGCGGTGCAGGCAGGAACAGTGTCTTGCGGTGCAGGCAGGAACAGTGTCTTGCGGTGCAGGCAGGAACAGTGTCTTGCGGTGCAGGCAGGAACAGTGTCTTGCGGTGCAGGCAGGAACAGTGTCTTGCGGTGCAGGCAGGAACAGTGTCTTGCGGTGCAGGCAGGAACAGTGTCTTGCGGTGCAGGCAGGAACAGTGTCTTGCAGTGCAGGCAGGAACAGTGTCTTGCGGTGCAGGCAGGAACAGTGTCTTGCGGTGCAGGCAGGAACAGTGTCTTGCGGTGCAGGCAGGAACAGTGTCTTGCGGTGCAGGCAGGAACAGTGTCTTGCGGTGCAGGCAGGAACAGTGTCTTGCGGTGCAGGCAGGAACAGTGTCTTGCGGTGCAGGCAGGAACAGTGTCTTGCGGTGCAGGCAGGAAACAGTGTCTTGCGGTGCAGGCAGGAACAGTGTCTTGCGGAGCAGGCAGGAACAGTGTCTTGCAATGCAGGCAGGAACAGTGTCTTGCAGAGCAGGCAGGAACAGTGTCTTGCAGAGCAGGCAGGAACAGTGTCTTGCAGAGCAGGCAGAACAGTGTCTTGCAGTGCAGGCAGGAACAGTGTCTTGCAGTGCAGGCAGGAACAGTGTCTTGCGGTGCAGGCAGGAACAGTGTCTTGCGGTGCAGGCAGGAACAGTGTCTTGCGGTGCAGGCAGGAACAGTGTCTTGCACTGCAGGCAGGAACAGTGCCTTGCAGTGCAGGCAGGAACAGTGCCTTACGGTGCAGGCAGGAACAGTGTCTTACCTGGAGTTTACCTGGAGAGAGTTCCGGGGGTCAACGCCCCCGCGGCCCGGTCTGTGACCAGGCCTCCTTAGGTCAGTGTCCCAGGATGCGACCCACACCAGTCGACTAACACCCAGGTACCCATTTTACTGATGGGGAACATAGACAACAGGTGGAAAGAAACACGTCCAATGTTTCTACTCTGGCTGGGAATCGAACCCAGGCCCTCGCCGTGTGAAGCCAGAGCGTTAACCACCAGGCCACCAGAGCCTGTGATGTGAAGTGAGACGAAATGAATTGACCCTAGAGAACAGAAGGAGCAAAATACTCGAATGAATTGATAGATCAGACAGGGACAAGCTGATGGAGAGGCAGGAAATAGGTACACGGGGGCACATCTGGATGTAAGACGCAGATGAGTCAGAGGGATGTCGGGAAGTATTTCTTCAGCCTCAGGGCGGTCGGGAAGTGCAATGACCTTAACGAGGAAATGGTGGAGACAGACTCTATACATAGCTTTAAGAACATATACGACTGGGCTAAGTAAACTAGGAGAGAGTGAACCTGGCAAATTGAGAGCGAGGCTAGGAGCTATAATTCGACCCCTGCAACCACATTTAGGTAGGTACATATGAATACACATATACGCACATGTGAAATACACAAGTAACCACATAATCAGTACACATGAATACACATACATAGTATTCAATACACACACAACATACATACATACATACATACTCACGAATTTATATGTTAACACTGTCAGTACTCAGTATTAACACTGTCAGTACTCAGTATTAACACTGTCAGTACTCAGTATTAACACTGTCAGTACTCAGTATTAACATTGTCAGTACTTAGTATTAACACTGTCAGTACTCAGTATTAACACTGTCAATACTCAGTATTAACACTGTCAGTACTTAGTATTAACACTGTCAGTACTCAGTATTAACATTGTCAGTACTTAGTATTAACACTGTCAGTACTTAGTATTAACACTGTCAGTACTTAGTATTAACACTGTCAGTACTCAGTATTAACACTGTCAGTACTCAGTATTAACACTGTCAGTACTCAGTATTAACACTGTCAGTACTCAGTATTAACACTGTCAGTACTCAGTATTAACACTGTCAGTACTCAGTATTAACACTGTCAGTACTCAGTATTAACACTGTCAGTACTTAGTATTAACACTGTCAGTACTCAGTATTAACACTGTCAGTACTTAGTATTAACACTGTCAGTACTAAGTATTAACACTGTCAGTACTCAGTATTAACACTGTCAGTACTAAGTATTAACACTGTCAGTACTAAGTATTAACACTGTCAGTACTCAGTATTAACACTGTCAGTACTCAGTATTAACACTGTCAGTACTCAGTATTAACACTGTCAGTACTAAGTATTAACACTGTCAGTACTAAGTATTAACACTGTCAGTACTCAGTATTAACACTGTCAGTACTCAGTATTAACACTGTCAGTACTCAGTATTAACACTGTCAGTACTCAGTATTAACACTGTCAGTACTAAGTATTAACACTGTCAGTACTCAGTATTAACACTGTCAGTACTAAGTATTAACACTGTCAGTACTCAGCATTAACACTGTCAGTACTCAGTATTAGCACTGTCAGTACTATTAACACTGTCAGTTCTCAGTATTAACACTGTCAGTACCCAGTATTAACACTGTCAGTACTCAGTATTAACACTGTCAGTACTCAGTATTAACACTGTCAGTACTCAGTATTAACACTGTCAGTACTCAGTATTAACACTGTCAGTACTCAGCATTAACAGTGTCAGTACTCAGTATTAACACTGTCAGTACTCAGTGTTAACACTGTCAGTACTAACACTGTCAGTACTCAGTATTAACACTGTCAGTACTCAGCATTAACACTGTAAATACTCAGTATTAACACTGTCAGTACTCAGCATTAACACTGTAAGTACTCAGTATTAACATTGTCAGTACTCAGTATTAACACTGTCAGTACTCAGTATTAACACTGTCAGTACTCAGTATTAATACTGTCAGTACTCAGTATTAATACTGTCAGTACTCAGTATTAACACTGTCAGTACTCAGTATTAACACTGTCAGTACTCAGTATTAACACTGTCCGTAATCAGCATTAACACTGTCAGTACTCAGTATTAACACTGTCAGTACTCAGTATTAATACTGTCAGTACTCAGTATTAACACTGTCAGTACTCAGTATTAACACTGTCAGTACTTAGTATTAACACTGTCAGTACTCAGCATTAACACTGTCAGTACTCAGTATTATTACTGTCAGTACTCAGTATTAACACTGTCCGTACTCAGCATTAACACTGTCAGTACTCAGTATTATTACTGTCAGTACTCAGTATTAACATTGTCAGTACTCAGCATTAACACTGTCAGTACTCAGCATTAACACTGTCAGTACTCAGTATTAATACTGTCAGTACTCGGTATTAACATTGTCAGTACTCAGTATTAATACTGTCAGTACTCAGTATTAACATTGTCAGTACTCAGTATTAACACTGTCAGTACTCAGTATTAACATTGTCAGTACTCAGTATTAACACTGTCAGTACTCAGTATTAACACTGTCAGTACTCAGCATTAACACTGTCAGTACTCAGTATTAACACTGTCAGTACTCAGTATTAACATTGTCAGTACTCAGTATTAATACTGTCAGTACTCGGTATTAATACTGTCAGTACTCGGTATTAATACTGTCAGTACTCGGTATTAATACTGTCAGTACTCGGTATTAATACTGTCAGTACTCGGTATTAACATTGTCAGTACTCAGTATTAATACTGTCAGTACTCAGTATTAACACTGTCAGTACTAAGTATTAACACTGTCAGTACTAAGTATTAACACTGTCAGTACTCAGTATTAATACCGTCAGTACTCAGTGTTCCCAGAACAAAGTTACTGATGATAATCTTGGTATCCAGGGAGATGAGTCCTACCAGAGTTCTTGCTACAGCATCCCAGGTGACCAACTCTCCTGGAGTGATGCACAGAACCACTGTCTCTCCAGGACCTCACACCTGGCTGTCATTAATGACAGGTAAGATAGCTGTCTCTCAGAACCTCACACCTGGCTGTCATTAATGACAGGTAAGATAGCTGTCTTTCAGAACCTCACACCTGGCTGTCACTAATGGCAGGTAAGATAGCTGTCTCGCAGAACCTCACACCTGGCTGTCATTAATGGCAGGTAAGATAGCTGTCTCTCAGAACCTCACACCCTGGCTGTCATTAATGACAGGTAAGATAGCTGTCTCGCAGAACCTCACTCCCTGGCTGTCATTAATGGCAGGTAAGATAGCTGTCTCGCAGAACCTCACACCCTGGCTGTCATTAATGACAGGTAAGATAGCTGTCTCGCAGAACCTCACACCTGGCTGTCATTAATGACAGGTAAGATAGCTGTCTCTCCAGAACCTCACACCTGGCTGTCATTAATGACAGGTAAGATAGCTGTCTCGCAGAACCTCACACCTGGCTGTCATTAATGACAGGTAAGATAGCTGTCTCGCAGAACCTCACACCTGGCTGTCATTAATGACAGGTAAGATAGCTGTCTCGCAGAACCTCACACCTGGCTGTCATTAATGACAGGTAAGATATCTGTCTCGCAGAACCTCACACCTGGCTGTCATTAATGACAGGTAAGATAGCTGGCTCTCCAGGACCTCACACCTGGCTGTCATTAATGACAGGTAAGATAGCTGTCTCGCAGAACCTCACACCTGGCTGTCATTAATGACAGGTAAGATAGCTGTCTCGCAGAACCTCACACCTGGCTGTCATTAATGACAGGTAAGATAGCTGTCTCGCAGAACCTCACACCTGGCTGTCATTATTGGCAGGTAAGATAGCTGTCTCGCAGAACCTCACACCTGGCTGTCACTAATGGCAGGTAAGATAGCTGTCTCTCAGAACCTCACACCTGGCTGTCATTAATGACAGGTAAGATAGCTGTCTCTCAGAACCTCACACCTGGCTGTCATTAATGACAGGTAAGATAGCTGTCTCGCAGAACCTCACACCCTGGCTGTATTTAATGGCAGGTAAGATAGTTGTCTCGCAGAACCTCACACCTGGCTGTCATTAATGGCAGGTAAGATAGCTATCTCTCAGAACCTCACACCTGGCTGTCATTAATGACAGGTAAGATAGCTATCTCTCAGAACCTCACACCTGGCTGTCATTAATGACAGGTAAGATAGCTATCTCTCAGAACCTCACACCTGGCTGTCATTAATGGCAGGTAAGATAGCCATCTCTCAGAACCTCACACCTGGCTGTCATTAATGACAGGTAAGATAGCTGTCTCGCAGAACCTCACACCTGGCTGTCATTAATGACAGGTAAGATAGCCATCTCTCAGAACCTCACACCTGGCTGTCATTAATGACAGGTAAGATAGCTATCTCGCAGAACCTCACACCTGGCTGTCATTAATGACAGGTAAGATAGCTGTCTCTCAGAACCTCACACCTGGCTGTCATTAATGACAGGTAAGATAGCAACTTAATGATCATAACTGCACTACTAATTAAATAATATTGCTATTATTGATGATACATAGTACTGTTTCTGTCATTATTATACCTGACGTCTAACAATTTTCTTTATAAAAACATCTACTGACAGAGTCATGGTAGATGGGTTTCCTCTATTTTCTTAGGGAGGCTAAACCCGTAAAAACCCATAACAAAAGTCACTTATTATCATCATTACGTATTCTAATGGGTTTTTTTGTGTGGCGTGTATAGAGAGGAATCAGAATTCGTGCGAGGTCTGTTTGGTGAGACGGGGAGAGGTTGCTGGCTCGGTGGATCTGTCAGCCAGGTTGATGACGACCCTCCGGTGCTCTCCTGGGTCAACCATCAACCATTTACCTTCATCAACTGGAACGAATATCAACCAAGTGAGTTATTGATGTACTGAGAGATATTGTTATTAATGTAGTGAGAGAGACTAAGTGTACTGTTGATGTACTGAGAGATACTTAGGCAGTTATTGATGTACTGAGAGATACTTAGGCAGTTATTGATGTACTGAGAGATACTTAGGCAGTTATTGATGTACTGAGAGATACTTAGGCAGTTATTGACGTTTTGAGAGATACTTAGGCAGTTATTGATGTTTTGAGATACTTAGGCAGTTATTGATGTTTTGAGATACTTAGGCAGTTATTGATGTACTGAGAGATACTTAGGGAGTTATTGATGTTTTGAGAGATACTTAGGCAGTTATTGACGTTTTGAGAGATACTTAGGCAGTTATTGATGTTTTGAGATACTTAGGCAGTTATTGATGTACTGAGAGATACTTAGGGAGTTATTGATGTTTTGAGAGATACTTAGGCAGTTATTGACGTTTTGAGAGATACTTAGGCAGTTATTGATGTTTTGAGAGATACTTAGGCAGTTATTGATGTACTGAGAGATACTTAGGCAGTTATTGATGTACTGAGAGATACTTAGGCAGTTATTGATATACTGAGAGATACTTAGGCAGTTATTGATGTACTGAGAGATACTTAGGCAGTTATTGATGTACTGAGAGATACTTAGGCAGTTATTGATGTACTGAGAGATACTTAGGCAGTTATTGATGTACTGAGAGATACTGTTATTAATGTAGTGAGAGAGACTAAGTGTACTGTTGATGTACTGAGAGAGACTGAGTTATTGATGTACTGAGAGATACTTAGGCAGTTATTGATGTACTGAGAGATACTTAGGGAGTTATTGATGTTTTGAGAGATACTTAGGCAGTTATTGATGTTTTGAGAGATACTTATTCAGTTATTGATGTACTGAGAGATACTTAGGCAGTTATTGATGTACTGAGAGATACTTAGGGAGTTATTGATGTTTTGAGAGATACTTAGGCAGTTATTGATGTTTTGAGAGATACTTATTCAGTTATTGATGTACTGAGAGATACTTAGGCAGTTATTGATGTACTGAGAGATACTGTTATTAATGTAGTGAGGGAGACTAAGTGTACTGTTGATGTACTGAGAGATACTTAGGCAGTTATTGATGTACTGAGAGATACTTAGGCAGTTATTGATGTACTGAGAGATACTGTTATTAATGTAGTGAGGGAGACTAAGTGTACTGTTGATGTACTGAGAGATACTTAGGCAGTTATTGATGTACTGAGAGATACTTAGGCAGTTATTGATGTTTTGAGAGATACTTAGGCAGTTATTGATGTACTGAGAGATACTTAGGGAGTTATTGATGTTTTGAGAGATACTTAGGCAGTTATTGATGTACTGAGAGATACTTAGGGAGTTATTGATGTACTGAGAGATACTCAGGCAGTTATTGATGTACTGAGAGCTTAAGGCAGTTATTGATGTACTGAGAGCTTAAGGCAGTTATTGATGTACTGAGATCTTAAGGCAGTTATTGATGTACTGAGAGATTAAGGCAGTTATTGATGTACTCAGAGATTAAGGCAGTTATTGATGTACTCAGAGATTAAGGCAGTTATTGATGTTTTGAGAGATACTTAGGCAGTTATTGATGTACTGAGAGATACTTAGGCAATTATTGATATTTTGAGAGATACTTAGGCAGTTATTGATGTTTTGAGAGATACTTAGGCAGTTATTGATGTTTTGAGAGATACTTAGGCAGTTATTGATGTTTTGAGAGATACTTAGGCAGTTATTGATGTTTCGAGAGATACTTAGGGAGTTATTGATGTTTTGAGAGATACTTAGGCAGTTATTGATGTTTTGAGAGATACTTAGGGAGTTATTGATGTTTTGAGAGATACTTAGGCAGTTATTGATGTTTTGAGAGATACTTAGGGAGTTATTGATGTTTTGAGAAATACTTAGGCAGTTATTGATGTTTTGAGAAATACTTAGGCAGTTATTGATGTACTGAGATCTTAAGGCAGTTATTGATGTACTGAGATCTTAAGGCAGTTATTGATGTACTGAGATCTTAAGGCAGTTATTGATGTACTGAGATCTTAAGGCAGTTATTGATGTACTGAGATCTTAAGGCAGTTATTGATGTACTGAGATCTTAAGGCAGTTATTGATGTACTGAGATCTTAAGGCAGTTATTGATGTACTGAGATCTTAAGGCAGTTATTGATGTACTGAGATCTTAAGGCAGTTATTGATGTACTGAGATCTTAAGGCAGTTATTGATGTACTGAGATCTTAAGGCAGTTATTGATGTACTGAGATCTTAAGGCAGTTATTGATGTACTGAGATCTTAAGGCAGTTATTGATGTAAGGGGAGACTAAGGCAGTTATTGTTGTACTGAGAGATTAAGGCAGTTATTGATGTAACAGTGTGATTACCCTGGTACAACAGTGTGATAACTACCCTGGTACAACAGTGTGATAACTACCCTGGTACAACAGTGTGATAACTGCCCTGGTACAATAGTGTGATTATCCTGGTACAACAGTTTGATAACTACCCTGGTACAATAGTGTGATTACCCTGGTATAACAGTGTGATAACTACCCTGGTACAATAGTGTGATTATCCTGGTACAACAGTGTGATAACTACCCTGGTACAACAGTGTGATAACTACCCTGGTACAACAGTGTGATTACTCTGGTACAACAGTGTGATAACTACCCTGGTACAATAGTGTGATTACCCTGGTATAACAGTGTGATAACTACCCTGGTACAATAGTGTGATTATCCTGGTACAACAGTGTGATAACTACCCTGGTACAATAGTGTGATTACCCTGGTATAACAGTGTGATAACTGCCCTGGTACAATAGTGTGATTATCCTGGTACAACAGTGTGATAACTACCCTGGTACAACAGTGTGATAGCTACCCTGGTACAACAGTGTGATAACTGCCCTGGTACAATAGTGTGATTACCCTGGTATAACAGTGTGATAACTACCCTGGTACAACAGTGTGATTACCCTGGTACAATAGTGTGATTACCCTGGTATAACAGTGTGATAACTACCCTGGTACAACAGTGTGATTACCCTGGTACAACAGTAATGTAACTACCCTCGTACAACAGTAATGTATCTACCCTGGTACAGCAGTAATATAATTACCCTGGAACAACAGTAATATAATTACCCTGGTACAACAGTAATATAACTACCCTGGTACAACAGTAATGTAACTACCCTGGTACAACAGTAATGTAACTACCCTGGTACAACAGTAATATAACTACCCTGGTACAACAGTCATGTAACTACCCTGGTACAACAGTAATGAAACTACCCTGGTACAACAGTAATGTAACTACCCTGGTACAAACAGTAATGTAACTACCTGGTACAACAGTAATGTAACTACCCTGGTACAACAGTAATATAATTACCCTGGTACAACAGTAATATAACTACCCTGGTACAACAGTAATATAACTACCCTGGTACAACAGTAATGTAACTACCCTGGTACAACAGTAATATAACTACCCTGGTACAACAGTAATATAACTACCCTGGTACAACAGTAATGTAACTACCCTGGTACAACAGTAATGTAACTACCCTGGTACAACAGTAATATAACTACCCTGGTACAACAGTAATATAACTACCCTGGTACAACAGTAATATAACTACCCTGGTACAACAGTAATGTAACTACCCTGGTACAACAGTAATATAACTACCCTGGTACAACAGTAATATAACTACCCTGGTACAACAGTAATATAACTACCCTGGTACAACAGTAATATAACTACCCTGGTACAACAGTAATGTAACTACCCTGGTACAACAGTAATATTAACTACCCTGGTACAACAGTAATATAACTACCCTGGTACAACAGTAATATAACTACCCTGGTACAACAGTAATGTAACTACCCTGGTACAACAGTAATATAACTTCCCTGGTACAACAGTAATGTAACTACCCTGGTACAACAGTAATGTAACTACCCTGGTACAACAGTAATGTAACTACCCTGGTACAACAGTAATGTAAGTACCCTTGTACAACAGTAATATAACTACCCTGGTACAACAGTAATGTAAGTACCCTGGTACAACAGTAATATAATTACCATGGTACAACAGTAATATAACTACCCTGGTACAACAGTGTGATAACTACCCTGGTACAACAGTAATGTAACTACCCTGGTACAACAGTAATATAACTACCCTTGTGCAACAGTAATATAACTACCCTGGTACAACAGTAATGTATCTACCCTGGTACAACAGTAATATAATTACCCTGGTACAACAGTAATATTACTACCCTGGTACAATAATGTAACTACCCTGGTACAACAGTAATATAATTACCCTGGTACAACAGTAATATAACTACCCTGGTACAGCAGTAATATAACTACCCTGTACAACAGTAATGTAACTACCCTGGTACAACAGTAATGTAACTACCCTGGTACAACAGTAATGTAACTACCCTGGTACAACAGTAATGTAAGTACCCTCGTACAACAGTAATATAACTACCCTTTTACAACTGTAATATAACTACCCTGGTACAATAGTAATATAATTACCCTGGTACAGCAGTAATGTAACTACCCTGGTACAACAGTAATGTAACTACCCTGGTACAACAGTGTGATAACTCCCCTGGTACAACAGTGTGATAACTACCCTGGTACAACAGTAATATAACTACCCTGGTACAGCAGTAATGTAACTACCTTGGTGCAGCAGTAATGTAACTACCCTGGTACAACAGTAATGTAACTACCCTGGTACAACAGTAATATAATTACCCTGGTACAACAGTAATATAACTACCCTGGTACAACAGTAATATAACTACCCTGGTACAACAGTAATGTAACTACCCTCGTACAACAGTAATGTAACTACCCTGGTACAACAGTAATATAACTTCCCTGGTACAACAGTAATGTAACTACCCTGGTACAACAGTAATGTAAGTACCCTTGTACAACAGTAATGTAAGTACCCTGGTACAACAGTAATATAATTACCCTGGTACAACAGTAATATAACTACCCTGGTACAATAATGTAACTACCCTGGTACAACAGTAATATAATTACCCTGGTACAACAGTAATGTAACTACCCTGGTACAACAGTAATATAACTACCCTTGTGCAACAGTAATATAACTACCCTGGTACAACAGTAATGTATCTACCCTGGTACAACAGTAATATAATTACCCTGGTACAACAGTAATATAACTACCCTGGTACAATAATGTAACTACCCTGGTACAACAGTAATATAATTACCCTGGTACAACAGTAATATAACTACTCTGGTACAACAGTAATGTAACTACCCTGGTACAACAGTAATGTAACTACCCTGGTACAACAGCAATATAACTACCCTGTACAACAGTAATGTAACTACTCTGGTACAACAGCAATATAACTACCCTGGTACAACAGTAATGTAACTACCCTGGTACAACAGTAATATAACTTCCCTGGTACAACAGTAATGTAACTACCCTGGTACAACAGTAATATAACTTCCCTGGTACAACAGTAATGTAACTACCCTGGTACAACAGTAATATAACTACCCTGGTACAACAGTAACGTAACTACTCTGGTACAACAGTAATATAACTACCCTGGTACAACAGTAATGTAACTACTCTGGTACAACAGCAATATAACTACCCTGGTACAACAGTAATGTAACTACCCTGGTACAACAGTAATATAACTTCCCTGGTACAACAGTAATGTAACTACCCTGGTACAACAGTAATATAACTTCCCTGGTACAACAGTAATGTAACTACCCTGGTACAACAGTAATATAACTACCCTGGTACAACAGTAACGTAACTACTCTGGTACAACAGTAATATAACTACCCTGGTACAACAGTAATATAACTACCCTGGTACAACAGTAATATAACTACCCTGGTACAACAGTAATATAACTACCCTGGTACAACAGTAATGTATCTACCCTGGTACAACAGTAATATAATTACCCTGGTACAACAGTAATATAACTACCCTGGTACAATAATGTAACTACCCTGGTACAACAGTAATATAATTACCCTGGTACAACAGTAATATAACTACTCTGGTACAACAGTAATGTAACTACCCTGGTACAACAGTAATGTAACTACCCTGGTACAACAGTAATGTAACTACCCTGTACAACAGTAATGTAACTACTCTGGTACAACAGTAATATAACTACCCTGGTACAACAGTAATGTAACTACTCTGGTACAACAGCAATATAACTACCCTGGTACAACAGTAATGTAACTACCCTGGTACAACAGTAATATAACTACCCTGGTACAACAGTAACGTAACTACCCTGGTACAACAGCAATATAACTACCCTGGTACAACAGTAACGTAACTACTCTGGCACAGGTCTGGAAGACGGAATGTGTCTGAGAGTGGCCGACAACTCTGGTGCCTGGATAATGTCCCACTGCCAGGAGAAACTAAACTATATCTGTAAGTATACTCACCTGTTTGTACTCACCTTTTTGTGGTTATAGAGTTTGTGTCATAGCTCCTGGCCCCGCCTCTTCGCTGGTCGCTACTAGGTCCACTCTCTCCCTGCTTCATGAGCTTTATCATACCTCTTCTTAAAGCTATGTATGGTTCCTGCCTCCACTACATCACACTCCAGGTTTTTCCACATCATAACTCTGTGGCTGAAGAAATACTTCCTAACATCCCTGTGACTCATCTGAGTCTTCAACTTCTAATTGTGACCCCTTGTTTCTGTGTCCCATCTCTGGAACATCCTGTCTCTGTCCACCTTGTCAGTCTCTCGTTTTTTTGAGATAAGATTTTGCTTGGATTTTTAATCCCCGGGGGTTAGCCACTCAGGATAATTCAAGAAAAATCAGCGCATCAAAAAATGTTTCTTATAACCATTGTAGTCCTTAAATCTTGTCCTCCAGGATGCGACCCACACCAGTCGACTAACACTAGGTACCTACTTACTGCTAGGTAAACAAGGACAAGTGTAGTGAGACATGTACAGTGTTATACTCCCTTTATCCCTCCTGTTCTTAAGTGTCGTCAGGTTGAATTCCTTAACCTCTCCTCGTAGGGCATGTCCCTTACCTCCGGGACTAGTCTCGTTGCAAACCTTTGCATTTCTTCTAATTTCTTGACGTGCTTGACCAGGTGTGAGTTCCATACTGGTGCTGCATACTCCACCTTGGGCCTGACGTGCATGGTGTCGAAAAGCTATTCTCAGGTTTGTCAGGCGCCCATATGCTGCAGCAGTTATATGGTTGATGCGTGCCTCAGGAGATGTGCTCGGTATTATACCAACCCATGATCCTTTTCCTTGAGTTAGGGTTGCAGCCTTTGACCCACTAGCCTGTACTCAGTCTGCGGTCCTCTTTGACCTTCCCAATCTTCATAACCCCACTTTGTGGGGTTAAAATCCAGAAGCCATTTGTTGGACCAGGCTTGCAGCCTGTCCAGATCCCCTTGTAGTCCTGCCTGATCCTCCTCCGCTTGTATTCTCCGCATTAACTTCACGTAGCCTGCAATCAGGGACACCGCTGACTCCATCCCTGCCTCATGTTACTCACATATACCAGAAACAGCAAGAGGAGGAGTATATGGAGACAAAAGAAGAGGTTAAGAGAGTGGTGAAGCAATGTAGAAGGAGAGAAAATGAGAGAGAGTGGGTGAAGTGTCACAAAATTTAGCTGAGAATAAGAAAAGTTTTGGAGTGAGATTAATAAGAAAGCCTACGGAACTAATGGAGAGGAGAGCTATATCAGGAGAATATTTTGAGGAACTCTTAAATGTGAATGAAGACAGGAAACCTGTGATTTTGTGTATATGGCAGGGAGGAATAACATCTTGTAGGAGTGAGGAAAAGTCAGTTGTGAGTGTGGGGGAAGTTCGTGAGGCAGTGGATAGAATGAAAGGGGATAAATCAGCTGGGATTGATGGGATAAAGATAGAAATGCTCAAAGCTGGTGGGGATGAAGTTTTGAAATGGCTGGTGCTAGTACCGAGTAAACGTATGGACGAGGGTAAGATACCTAGGGATTAGCAGAGAGCAGGGATAGTTCCTGTGTATAAAGGCAAAGGGGACAAAAGAGTGTAAAAATTATAAGGGAATAATTCTGTTGAGTATACCTGGCAAAGTGTATGGTAGTCATTGAAAGAATTATGAGTAAGATGGAGAGCAGGATAGCAGATGAACAAGGAGGATTTAGGAAGAGTAGGGGCTGTGTAGACCAAGTGTTTACAGTGAAACATAGATGAACAGTACTTAGATGAGGGTAAAAACGTCTTCGTTGCATTTATGATAGGGAAGCAATGTAGCAGATGTTACAAATGAATATAATAGGAGGTAGGTTACTGAAAACCCCAAAATAAAGGTTTTTTATGGGAAAATGGGGCTCAGGTTGATTTTGGGTGGGGAGGGGAAAAATTATTTAAAAAAAAGGGGCCTTGGAACAGGGATGTGTGATGTCACCGGGGTTTGTTGGGATATTTTTAAAATGGTTAAACAAACAAAAAGCCCAAAAACCTTTTAAAGGGGGCAGTAAATTTTACTGCCTTTTTTCTCTTTTTTTTTTAGTTTTGACTTTTAAAATGGCCCAAAGGTCGAACCGAAATGTCGCCGTAAAAACCCCCTTTCCCCAATGTACGGGTTAAATGAAAAATTTGGGGGGGGGGGGGGGGGGGGGTTGAAAGGAAGTGAAGCTGGGAAATTTTTGGAAAAGGAGTTTTGGGGGAAAAAAAGAAAAAGGGAAATTCCCCAAAAGTGGGAATTGTCAAGTTCCCTTTTGCTGATGACACTGTGCTTTGGGAAATTCCAAAGTTTAATTTTGCAGAAGTTGGCGATGATTTTTGGTTTGGTAAAAAAAAGAAATTAAAAGAAAAACGAAGGAAAAAATAAGGTAAAAAGGAAAAAAAAAAAATTAGATAAAAAAGACTGGATATCAGAATAGGGGGAAAGTTGGAAAAGGGCATCAGCAGATGGGCCCATGAAAGATGAAGTGAATAACAGAACTGACAAAGGAAAAATTGAGTGGTGCACTGGGGAAGTCGTGGGAGACAAAAAACCTTATTTTTGAGAGCACAAAGGGGAAAATTATGCGATTTAAATTTGGTGCCAACACTTTTTTATGGTGTGACGCATAAAGGTGGTAAATTTTGAAACCAAGGAGAAGGCTGGAGGCAGTGGAGATGTCGGCGTGGGGCAATTTTGTGGTGTGAATATAAAGCAAAAAAATTCCCTGATTTGGAAATTAGGAGAAAGGGGGAGATGTGTTAATAAAAAAAAACAACTTTTTTATCTTTTTGTTTAGAATTTTAAAAAATTAAAATTTTTTAAACAAAAAAAAGAGAAAATTTATTGGGAAAAAAATACGAAATAAAAATTTAAAAAAAAAAAAAAAATTTTTTTAAATTTAAAAATTTAAAAAATTGGATTTTAAAAGAAAACCAAAAGAAATTTATTTCAAGTAAGATGCCGTAAAAAATTTAAGGTTTTTTTGCCGATCAAATCGTGGATTTTTTTGGTTTAAACCCCAAAAATTTCCCAAAAATTTTAAATTTTTTTTAAAACAATGAAAAAGTGCTTTCTAAATGCGATTAAACCCGCATTAAAGGTTTAGAATCGATCCAAAGACAATTTTTCTGTTTTTTAACCCTATATGGGAATTTCTTCAATAAAAAATGTTACTTTTTGCGGTTGAAAAAAATAATTTAAAAATACAAACATTTATTTTATCAAAAATTTAGTAACATCATAATTTTAATTAATGAGAAGCATGGTTACACTTGGAATCTTTTTTCTGGAAAAAGTTTCACCCCGGGCCCGTGTCGTCCTTTTAGACCCTACCGTTCAAAGGGGGGTGAAACTCTAGATCTAGAGGGTAAGAGAATTTTACTGCCAAAAGAGGTTTTGTCAAACCCTCAACTACTGGGAACGCTTTTTTCACTTGGGCTTTTACTCACTGGGAAAACAAGCCCAGGGGCAGAACATCATAATCTTAGTCGACTAGTCCCCCAATCTGCAACAGAAATCAAATCCCCACAAAAGAAAAAACAGGGGCACCAAATGGACACTAAGAGAAAGCACCTAAATGTTTGGGGGTCAAGGGTGTTCAAAAAGCCTCCCACCCGGCCCTAAGGGAAAATTTCCCTAGGGGCCCCTGGCTGCCTTTTTAGAAGGGGGGGACGGTACTTAAAAAGGCGGTGCCTAACAGCCGGGGGTGTTTCGTTTCCTTGGAATAATCCAGGACCTATGTCCTCAGTTGGCCGGGAAAACAGGGTAGGTCGGTGGCTGCCCATTCTTGTAGGATTTGGTGGTCCCGTTGGGTTTTAAAACATTATGTTTGGTTTTTCCCTTTTACCATGGGGAGAGCCAGTAAACTGGGTTGGTTTGACTTTTACATACGTGTTCTGTGCCCCGTTCCCGCCAGAGAGAGGGACCCCAAATTTTTTTTTTCAGAGTCAAGGCGAGGACGACCAAAGGGGACGTGGCCGACAAAATGTAGGGCAGTAAACCTACTTGGTTAGTTTTTCCCTGATTCCCGCAGAAAGGGGAAACCTCGGTGGGCATACTCCCATAACCCCGACTGGGGTTTGCCCCTTGGGGCAGCCCAAATTTATCGGGAAACAAGGTGCACTCCGTCTTTTCCCCCCTTGGGGTTAAGGGCCCCCCCTGGGCCCGGGCACTTAAAACACACTGCTCGTACCACAAACCGCAAAAAAAAATAAGCTTTTAAAGAAAACATTGCCCCTTGTTTTGCCCCCCCACATAATTTTTGACTACGCTGAGACAACACAGGTCAGGGGCCCAAACCTGTTCAAGCCTCCCGCATTCTAAGGGGGATTACCAATAGCCCCCTGACTGTCTTCAAGGGAGGTGGACGGGCACTCAATTTAGTACTTGACCACCCGGGGGCTGTGTCTACGTTAGTTTTTATGGGCAGCGTAACGCCCGGTTGATCGAACCCTGGTCCATAACGAGACCGACCACGGACGGGCCCCGGGGGGTTGACCCCGGAACCCCTCTGGTATACTCCGGGTGCCGGGTGGAATAGAAGGTCACCAGGGAAAAATACCCAACCCTGTGGTCAGCTGAATCTCCTACCCCCGTGGTCAGCTGACATCTCCTCCCCCTTTGGGAGCTGACTCTCCCACCCTGTGGTAGCTGACATCTCCTACCCCCTTTGGGCAGCTGACATCTCCCTGTTTGGGCGCGAATTCCTACCCGTGGTCAGCTGACACCCTACCCCCGTGGTAGTGACATCTCCCCACCCTGTGGGCAGCTGACATCTCCTACCCTGTGGGCAGTGAATCCTACCCTGTGGGAGCTGACATCTCCTACCTGTGGGCACTGACACTCCCCACCCTGTGGGCAGCTGAACTCTACCCTGGGGCAGGACATTCCTACCCCGTGGGCAGTGACATTCCCACCTGTGGTCAGCTGCATCTCCCCACCTGTGGTCAGTTGCTCTCTCCCCGTGGTCGTGACATCCCTCCCCCGTGGGGCAGTTGACCCCTACCCCGGGTCAGTTGACATCTCCTACCCCGTGGTCAGTTGACATCTCCTACCCTGTGGTCAGCTGACATCTCCTACCCTGTGGTCAGCTGACATCTCCTACCCTGTGGTCAGCTGACATCTCCTACCCTGTGGTCAGCTGACATCTCCTACCCTGTGGTCAGCTGACCATCTCCTACCCTGTGGTCAGTTGACATCTCCTACCCTGTGGTCAGCTGACATCTCCTACCCTGTGGTCAGCTGACATCTGCTACCCTGTGGTCAGCTGACATCTGCTACCCTGTGGTCAGCTGACATCTGCTACCCTGTGGGCAGCTGACATCTTACCCGGCCCAAACATTAAGCAGGTAAACATAACTTACGACGTCTACAAGATACTCTCCGACCAGTACCATAATAATTACGATTATAATTACGATGATAATTACGATGATAATTACGATGATAATTACGATGATAATTACGATAATTACGATAATTACTATGATAATTTTAATATGCAACATTTCCTTCAGGTGAGTATGAGATTACAACACCCACTCAGCCGCCCACCCAGCCGCCCACCGAGCCACCCACCCAGCCGCCCACCCAGCCACCCACCCAGCCGCCCAACGAGCCACCCACCCAGCCGGGCCCCCCGAGCCATCCCCCCAGCTGCCCCTAGAGCCCCCACCCAGCCGCCCCCAGCCCCGTGCAGTGATGGGTGGCACCTAATAGTGAACCGTTGTTACAGAGTAGGTCCCTGAACCCCAGGGTTACCCTGGGTGGATAACCCCCTCCAGGGTTACCCCGGGGTGGAAACACTCTCCAGGGTTACCGGGGTGGATAACACTCCTCCAGGGTTTCCCCGGGTGGATAACACTCCTCCGGGTTTTCCCCGGGTGGATACCACTCCTCCAGGGTTACCCTGGGTGGATAACACTCCTCCAGGGTTACCCTGGGTGGATAACACTCCTCCAGGGTTACCTGGGTGGATACACTCCTCCAGGGTTACCCTGGGTGGATAACACTCCTCCAGGGTTACCCCGGGTGGATAGGGGGTGGATAACACTCCTCCAGGGTTACCCGGGGTGGATAACACTCCTCCAGGGGTTTTCCGGGTGATAACCTCCTCCAGGGTTAGGGGTGGATAAAAACTCCTCAGGGTTACCCGGGGTGGATAACACTCCTCCAGGGTTACCGGGGTGGATAACACTCCCCCAAAGGGGTTTCCCGGGGTGGATAACACTCCTCCAGGGTTACCCGGTGGATAACACTCCTCCAGGGTTACCCGGGGTGGATAAAAACTCCTCCCGGGTTTTCCCGGGGTGGATAACACTCCTCCCGGGTTACCGGGGTGGATAAACATCCCCAGGGTTACCCGGGTGGATAACACTCCTCCAGGGTTACCCGGGGTGGATAACACTCCTCCAGGGTTACCCGGGGTGGATAACACTCCTCCAGGGTTACCCGGGGTGGATAACACTCCTCCAGGGTTACCCGGGGTGGATAACACTCCTCCAGGGTTTTCCCGGGGTGGATAAAACTCCTCCGGGTTACCCGGGGTGGATAACACTCCTCCAGGGTTACCCGGGGTGGATAACACTCCTCCAGGGTTACCCGGGGTGGATAACACTCCTCCAGGGTTACCCGGGGTGGATAACACTCCTCCAGGGTTACCCGGGGTGGATAACACTCCTCCAGGGTTACCCGGGGTGGATAACACTCCTCCAGGGTTACCCGGGGTGGATAACACTCCTCCAGGGTTACCCGGGGTGGATAACACTCCTCCAGGGTTACCCGGGGTGGATAACACTCCCCCAGGGTTACCGGGGTGGGGGTAAACACTCCTCCAGGGTTACCCGGGGTGGATAACACTCCTCCAGGGTTACCCGGGGTGGATAACACTCCTCCAGGGTTACCCGGGGTGGATAACACTCCTCCAGGTTAACCCGGGGGGGAATAACACTCCTCCAGGGTTACCCGGGGTGGATAACACTCCTCCGGGTTACCCGGGGTGGATAACATCCTCCAGGGTTACCCGGGGTGGATAAAACACTCCTCCAGGGTTACCCGGGGTGGATTAACACTCCTCCAGGGTTACCCGGGGTGGATAAACTCCTCCAGGGTTACCCGGGGTGGATAACACTCCTCAGGGTTACCCGGGGTGGATAACACTCCTCCAGGGTCCCGGGGTGGATAACACTCCCAGGGTTACCGGGGTGGATAACACTCCCCAGGGTTACCGGGGTGGATAACACTCCACCAGGGCTTAACCCGGGGTGGATAACACTCCCCAGGGTTACCCGGGGTGGATAACACTCCTCCAGGGTACCCGGGGTGGATTAACACTCCTCCAGGGCTTTCCCGGGGTGGATAACACTCCCAGGGCTACCCGGGGTGGATAACACTCCCAGGGCTACGGGGTGGATAACACTCCTCCAGGGTTACCGGGGTGGATAACACTCCTCCAGGGTACCCGGGTGGATAACACTCCCCCAGGGTTACCCGGGGGGGATAACACTCCTCCAGGCTACCCGGGGTGGATAACACTCCTCCAGGGGTTACCCGGGGTGGGGTAACACTCCACCAGGGTTACCCCGGGGGGGATAACACTCCACCAGGGCTACCCGGGGTGGATAACACTCCCAGGGGGTACCCGGGTGGATAACACTCCTCCAGGGCTACCCGGGGTGGAAAAACAAATCCCCCAGGGCTACCCGGGGTGGATAACACTCCACCAGGGCTACCCGGGGTGGATAACCACTCCACCAGGGCTACCCGGTGGATAACATCCTCCAGGGGTTTCCCGGGGTGGATAACACTCCTCCAGGGGCTACCCCGGGTGGATAACACTCCTCCAGGGCTACCCGGGTGGGGTAAAAACTCCTCCAGGGCTACCCGGGGTGGATAACACTCCTCCAGGGTTACCCGGGGTGGATAACACTCCTCCAGGGCTACCCGGGGTGGATAACACTCCTCCGGGCTACCCGGGGTGGATAAACTCCTTTCCCGGGTTTCCGGGGTGGATAACACTCTCCAGGGCTACCCGGGGTGGATAACACTCCTCCAGGGCTACCCGGGGTGGATAACACTCCTCCAGGGCTACCCGGGGTGGATAACACTCCTCCAGGGCTTTCCCGGGGTGGATAAAACTCCTCCGGGTCCCGGGGGTGGATAACACTCCTCCAGGGCTACCCGGGGTGGATAACACTCCTCCAGGGCTACCCGGGGTGGATAACACTCCTCCAGGGCTACCCGGGGTGGATAACACTCCTCCAGGGCTACCCGGGGTGGATAACACTCCTCCAGGGCTACCGGGGTGGTAACACTCCTCAGGGGGTACCCGGGGTGGATAAAACTCCTCCAGGGCTACCCCGGGGGGGAATAACACTCCTCCAGGGCTACCCGGGGTGGATAACCCCTCCTCCAGGGCTACCCGGGTGGAATAAAAATCCTCCAGGGCTACCCGGGGTGGATAACACTCCACCAGGGCTACCCGGGGTGGATAACACTCCACCAGGGCTACCCGGGGTGGATAACACTCCTCCAGGGCTACCGGGGTGGGTAACAAATCCTCCCGGGCTACCCGGGGTGGATAACACTCTCCAGGGCTACGGGGTGGATAAACTCCTCCAGGGCTACCCGGGGTGGATAACACTCCTCCCGGGCTACCCGGGTGGATAAACACTCCTCCAGGGCTACCCGGGGGGGTAACACTCCCAGGGCTACCGGGGTGGATAACACTCCTCCAGGCTACCCGGGGTGGATAACACTCCTCCAGGGCTACCCTGGGTGGATAACACTCCTCCCGGGCTACCGGGGGGGATAACACTCCTCCAGGGCTACCCGGGGTGGATAACACTCCTCCAGGGCTACCGGGGTGGTAACACTCCTCCAGGGTACCCTGGGTGGATAACCACTCCTCCAGGGGGTACCTGGGTGGATAACACTCCTCCCCGGGCTACCCGGGGTGGATAAACACTCCTCCCGGGCTACCCTGGGTGGATAACACTCCTCCAGGGTTTCCTGGGTGGATAACACTCTCCAGGGTACCTGGGTGGTAAACACTCCCCCAGGGCTACCCGGGTGGATAAAAAACCCTCCGGGCACCCTGGGGGGTAACACTCCCCAGGGCTACCGGGGGATAAAAACTCCTCCCGGGCTACCCGGGTGGGATACATCCTCCAGGGCTACCCGGGTGGATAACACTCCTGGGCTACCGGGTGGTAAAAAACCCTCCCGGGCTACCCGGGGTGGATAACCTCCTCCCGGGGGTACCTGGGTGGATAACCCCTCCCGGGTACCCGGGGGGGGTAAACTCCTCCCGGGTACCGGGGGGGTAAAACTCTCCAGGGACCCCGGGGGTAACCTCCTCCGGGGGGACCCGGGTGGATAACACTCCCCAGGGTTTCCCGGGGTGGATAAAATCCTCCGGGTACCCTTTTATAACACTTAGGGGACCCTTGGATAACACCTGGGTTACCTGGGGGGGAAAAAATCCCGGGGGTTACCCTGGGGGGGATAAAACTTAGGGGACCCTGGGTGGGAAAAAAATCCCCCAGGGGCCCGGGGGGAACACTGTCACTTGATAGTAACACATGAAAGTAACACTAGTAGTACATATGTAGTAACATCACTTGATAGTAACCTTGTAGTAAACTCACTTGATGTAACATATGTAGTAACAATTGATTAGTAAACCACTATGATAGTAAACCTCTGATAGTAAAAACTTGATAGAACACTAGTAGTAACACTATGATAGTAACACTAGATAAACATTGATGTAACACTATGTAGTAACACTATGAAGTTTTAACACTTTTGATAGTAACCTATGAAGTAACACTAGGGGTAGTAAACTTGATAGTAAAATCATATGAAATAACACTATGATAGTACACATGATGAACACTATGTAGTAACACTATGTAGTAACATTGATGTAAAATCACTATGATGTAAACACTATGATAGTAACACTATGATGAACATTGATGTAAACACTATGATATAACAATAGATAGTAACATATGTGTAACACTATGATAGTAAACACTCACTTGATTAAAACTATGATAGTAAAAACCCTTGATAGTAACACTATGTGTAACACTATGTAGTAAAACCTATGATAGTAAAACCCATGATGAAATAGATAGTAACATCACTTGATGTAAACTATGTGTAACATACTTGATAGTAAAATCCCTTTATGAACACTATGATGAAAAAAAAACTATGATAGTAACCTCATATGATATAAAACTATGTAGAAACTTGTGTAACACTTGTGTAAAACTATGATAGTACCTAGATAGTAACACTATGAAGTAACACTAGGGGTAAAAAACTATGATAGTAACATCACATGATGTAACACTATGATAGTAACACTATAAGTAACATATGATAGTAAACCCCCTATGATGTAACACTATGTGTAACATTGATAGTAAAACTATGATAGTAACCTCATATGATAGTAAATATGATAGTAACCTTTTATAGTAAAAATTTATAGATAGTAACACTATGTTTTTAACACTCCTTGATAGTAAAACTTGATAGTAACACAGATAGTAAACACATGATTTAAAACTTGATAGTAACACTTGATAGTAACACTAGATGTAAAACTAGAAATAAAAACTCACATGATAGAAACTATGTGTAAACACT